TTTTTTATAAAAAATATATATTTATAATTCTCACATTCTCATTCTCATCGTAGCTTTCTAAGAAATAATTAACTATATTGTTGAAGTATTTTTAGTATTAATGTGTTAATTGATTATGAGCATCACTAATGCCTTAAAAGAATGCACACAACTTTTAAAATAATTAATAAACTTACAATTACCATTTTATAATTAGTGAAAATTTAAACGTGCATGTTATTTGTTTAATCCATCTGGACGCAAAGAACCAAATATGCAAAATTTAGCCAATAATATCAGATTATTATAGATTTTACAAAAAACTAGCGAACCATAATTTTTAATCGTAAACTTTATGTTATATTTTATGAAATTAACAAAAAGCATTTTTATACATTGTTTTGATGTCTGTGACATATCTTACATCCACTACTACTGAGTTAGTCATTCAGTTGGAAACAACAAAAAAAAGTGGAAACAGTGGGAGCAATAAGCATACATCAAAATCTTTGAAGGTTGGAAAGTTGAGAGGTTTGGAAGTAGAGGAGCTAAATTTACCTGTTTCATGAACTTCAATAGAGTCCATTCTTGTTCTCGGTGTTGAAAGTCTTCCACTGCCATCTGCAAACACACTATTGTCTCCTAACTCACCAGTAAAGGTGTATATAAAAAATTTACCTGTTTCATGAACTTCAATAGAGTCCATTCTTGTTCTCGGTGTTGAAAGTCTTCCACTGCCATCTGCAAACACACTACTGTCTCCTACCTCACCAGTAAAGGTGTATATAAAAAAGTTTAATATATTTTTTTAAATTTTTTGAGTTGATGCAAGTCATAAGTGTATGTATATTAAAAAATAAATGTAATTCTTTTTGTGTAAAATTTTGTATAATTTTTTTTTTGTTTTTTATTTGAGATTTTATTTGTATTTTTTTGTATTCTTATTTAATTTGTAAATTTTAAAATTTGTAATGAAGTTGTTCGTATTTTGTTAAATTTTGTAAAAAAATATTAATATTTTTTTGTGTAAAATATTGTATGAAATTTATTCTAGAAAATTTTTTAGTTAATTTATGTTTCATGAAATTTATTCTTGAAATTTGTTTGGAATTAAATTATTAATACAAACAGTTTTTTTAGAAAATTTATTATGTTAATTTTATTTTAAAAAATAAATGATTATAATAATTTTATATTCTAATGAGTCAATTTCGAGCTGAACACAAACACACTTAACACACTGTTCACGAGCTATTTCGAACACGAGCCGATTTCGAACACGAGTCAATTTCAAACGAGCCGAACACGAGTCCAGCGAACACGAGCCCAGCCTGAGCTCGCTCAAGCTCGGCTCGTTTACAGCCCTAAATGTAGTGAGCACCATGATGCATTTGAAGCATGTAAGGTTAGCGATTTTTTGGGCTACTTGCAATTTTCATTTGAGGATTGGCATGCATCTTAAGGAAATGAATTGAACAATGTTAATTTTGTCGGTCTAGATTTAGATTGACCTGCTGATGGATTTGAACAATTATGGATGATTGAGCCAATCTTTTGTTGATTTAACTCTTTCATCCCTCTAGTGACAATGAAGTGACAATAATCGCCCATTGACAACTTTGATGACTGCTTTGGCGTCAAGTTGAGATGACTTATTGGGTAGTGATGGCAGCATTCAGAAATAATGGAGGAGAAGATCACTTTGGATGCTGAAGGAGAGAACAATAGAGGCCATGAGGGTGTATTATGATCTGACTACACCAATTCACACTTCGACATAAATTGTTCAAGCTTAGCAGGGTGCTCTTCTATTAATGGATACTTCTACCGTAAGTAGTGAAGCATTAAGAACATGTCAAGCCTTTAATAAGCTCGTCTTGGACTAGATTATGACCATGCTTTTCTCTCATGCGGTCATAGGTTGTTCAGGTTCTCAAATCACAAGAAAAACTCTTCTTCAACTTGAAAGTATCTAATTTCACATTTCTATCAAGTGGAATATACTTGTACTCTAAGACCCGTTCCACTGTCTAGAGTCATCCGAACTCATTCAAATCCATTAAACCCTCAAAATCCAATAGAACAATCTTCACACTAAGTCACCCTCTCTCCTCCTACACTCAAGGACGAATCTACAAGGAATCAACACTTTGTTGCTTGATGCTTCTTAGTGAAAAGCATTCTCATCTTCTTCCTAATCTGGTTAGTTACCATCATAATTGTGAGTGACCTCGTCATGCTATCTTCTTTCAAAATAAAAAAGGTTATACTATAGTTGGAAAATTTCTCGTTGCATATCTTCCATGGTAAGCCCTTGAATATTCCTTTGGGGGCTCCTTAGCGGTACGGTAGTTTATTCCCCGGGGCCAAGGTGAAAAATTTTTATCTAAGGCTGAACGAAAGTTAGGTTTAAGTGAAAGGTATAAGGATGATTTTTTTATTGAGAAAGAATAGTTAGGTTTCATAGATTTAGGATTAGGGCTTGTATTTTTAGGAAAAAAAATCTAGGGTTTAAAAGCTCTGATATCAAATGAATATACTGTAAGATACCTAGGAGTTTGAGAATCAAATATCATGTGGGAACAGTTATAGAATAGCAAGAAGAGGAGCATATGGAAAGATGATGAAATATGCAAGGAAAATAAATAGTTCTGACAGATATCCCAAAGTAAAACAGCAATAAACACTGCTATCCAACAATACCGACAATATCAAAGTATTTACCATCGAATATTCTATTCAAACTACATAAAAATAAATAGTTATGACACTTATCCCAGAGGAAAACAGCAATAAACATGGCTAACAATATCAACGTATTTACCATCAAATATTTTGTTCAAACTACAGGAGTCTACTTTTCATTCTCATCTTTAAATAAGAACTACTAAAATCCATCCCATGTAATCATGCCTCACTTTATCCTTTCTACTAACAACTCTTGATTTTCATTTAGGCATGGTTTCAAGGAAATAAACTAACAAAAATTTAAAACATTGATGATGTTACCTGAAGTTCCTCCGAACACTTGATGGCTACTGCTGGAGGAAGGAACCTTTTCAAAAGATCATCTTTCTGCAAAGCAACCGAAGTCTCAACCTCACCAATTTCTCCTTCGTTTTCAGTGCAATCCATAGCCATGCTAGACTTAATCTTAGACAGCTCAGGCACATCCAAAGGTTGAAGACATTCATATTGACTGTTGGGCATAATTGCCTGAGAAGTCACTGGTGTTGCTCCATCAGAGTGCCCTACAAACACCAACTTGTCAAATAACTAGGTTGAGAGCAGAACAAAGAAGCTACCTCAGAGCCTAAAAGTTGCATTCAGACACTAGCCACTGTAGTGACATTTGTATTAAAACCACAAGAGAAGAAGATGATTAGAAAAACACTTTCACTAGGCACCACTTTAAACCAAACTATTCACAATTAAAATTTAGATCATGAAGTACTCCCATAATCCACAAACAATAAAAAACTTCAAAATTTAATAACCAAACTTCTTATCCATTTGCATTCATGCTTTGTAATTCCATACCACACATATTTCATTTTACATACAATCAGAAAGCTAACGTGGTTTAAAAACATATGAAAAATTTTAGTATAGATATAAAACCTAAAAAAATAAACGATCACTTAAAACATACTAATTCATTAATAAATTTTAGTATAGATTTACATAAAACTGAAGAAATGATCAATCACATAAAACATGCTAATCCTTTAATATTAATTAAATATCAACCAAAATCTATTACAGTACTCCAAAAGAAAGAGAAGTGAGGTAATACAGAAACTTCTGAAAGAAAAAGACATGAAAGCGGAAAAGTTTGGAGTGTTGTGATAGGAATAAATTAAGGCTATTAACCTAGGGTTTGTCTATTATGCATGGTTTTGGTGGCTGCACTTTTCTTCTTTTCTTGTGGTATTCCCAGCGGCATCTAGAAAGAGACGATCTACTTCTCGTATAGTAGATCATCATTGTATCTTGTTTGTTTGCATTCACTTTCGTAAGAGCAGCCCTCATTTGAGTTTTTCCATCTATCCATTGTCATTTCGTTGTTGTTTGCTCATTGATTTTGATTCTGAATCGTATCAGATATCCTTCTAATGGATAAGACTGTAGAAAGAGTTCAAGAAAAATATTGATTTTGATTCTGAATCGTATCAGATATCCTTCTTATGGATAAGACTATAGAAAGAGTTCAAAAAAAATATGAATTATTGAGGTTTACATTGGAGTCTAAAGGCCTTAGTTTAAGTAGATATAAAATTGAATATATGGAATATAGTTTTAGTAGTAGTAGCTCTAACGGTAGAGTTGTAGCCATGGGTGATCAAATCATTAAAGGGTGTGAACGTTTTAGATATCCCAGGTCTATTGTTCAAAGTGATAGTGATATAGATAGGAATGTTATTAGTAGAATTCAAGTTGGTTGGTTAAAGTGGAGGAATGCATTTAGCCTATTGTGTGCTAGAAAAATTCTAGTTAGACTGAAAGGAAAATTTTATATGATGGTGGTGAGACTTGCAATGCTCTATGGGACTATAGAATATTGGCCATTAAAAAGAAGCATAAATAAAGTTAAGTGTTGCTGAGATGAATATGTTTAGGTGGATGAGTGACTTGACACTTAGAGACAAAATACGAAATGAATATATGGCGGATAAGATTAGAGAGAGTAGTCTTAAATGGATTGGTCCTGGCGGATAAGATTAGAGAGAGTCGTCTTAGATGGATTGGTTCATCGACCATCTGATGATCCCGTTAGGAGAGTATATGTTTTAGATTCGATTTATATTAAGAAAGGTGAAGGTAGACCCGTTAGGAGAGTATATGTTTTAGATTCGATTTATGTTAAGAAAGGTGAAGGTAGGCCTAAAAAAATTTCAGCATGTTGTATAAAAAATGATCATAATCTATTAGAATTAAATAAAAATATGACACTTAATAGGATGCAATGGAGAAAAAGGATTCATGTAGCCCACCCCACTTAGTGGGATAAAGTCTTGTTGTTGTTTCTGTTGTAGAGCTTAAGAGGCGGGTCAAATGACATAGCACTTCATTCTTATGACACTTATTTCACATTTTCAAATTTGTATTATGCTCCAATATAATTCATAATAACTTGAACACTTAATCATCGAGATATTGTATGCTTCGGCCTATTGGCTCATAATTATTTCTCATAAGTGTAACTTTTCAAGAGGTCATCCATCCCAAAAAATACTTCTGCATAAGCAAGCGTAGTTTTTGAGTTTCTGATGAAATTTCAACTGCTATACCAAAGAAGTCTCGATGTTTAGCAATTCACCTTTATTCTAAATAAGGGATTTCACATATTAAATGAATTTTGCCCGAAGCAATGTTTAGGTTAATGCCTCGATGAAAATTCCAAGAGTATTCACTTAAAGGTTGTCCTTACAAGAATGCAATCTAAGTCAAAGCCTCATCAATCACATCAATCATGTCTTGATATGAAATTGATTAACATATATTATTAAATTATTTTTTTATGAAAAGTGTGAGCCTTCAATGATTCCCCCCCCAGTCAAGTAAAAAGTTCAAGGGTTTCTTTTATTCTTCTTCATGCATCATGGAAGTGGTTTATCTAAGCTCAATTGAGATTGGGGCCTCACAATGACTTTAAAGGCTAAAAGAAGGAAGATGTTGGATGGGAAATGTTCCCAATCCTCACTGAAGATTGGGAAATAAAGCTGCATTGTCTTCGTTGTTCCCAATTAGAGGAGTGAAGGCTGGAGTAATTGTACCATCGCCTTCATTATACCTCGTGTTCGAGTGAAATCTAAAGTAGGATTGTACCATCACTTTTGTAGCAAGGCATGAATGAGTTCAAAATTAAAAAAATCGTTGTTATAATTTTGGAAGTGTGGAGATGTGTGGGCCAAAACAATTTCACCAGCCTTATGGGATCACGTAGGATGAAGTTATGTTATCATTTGCAAATAAAAGCAAATGTAAGTCAAACACCAAACCACCATTGTAGTCCATGAAGACATTTATGGGGAAGCATTGTAAGAAGGGAACCAACTGAAGAAAAAAGAGTGCCCTCATGAATCTTGACAAGGGGTGATCACCCTTGCACAAAAATGCACATTGAATTGTATGATTTACATTAGTGCAAAATGTTGCATGTAAAACAATAGTTGACATACCTAAAGTTCTCATAGGCATCTGCCTTTGGCTTGAGCTAGCTTCATGACAACGCAACAAAAAAAAATTGGAATATCAACACCCTGCCTAAAACTTAAAAACATTGGGAATGAACTCTGATGTGCCAATCCTTGAAGGAAAAGAATAAATAAATCAATTCAATAGAATTTCCCCTTGGGCCAAGTGAAAGTAAGAGAAGAAACCTGTAACTTAATCCAAGATACTATCTATAGGCTCTATGATAAAGGGTACTTTTAGTTATCTAAGAGATCATGCAGTGGAGATGAAACACATCTTCTACAATCTATACCAAACTAAAACGCCCTTTGATCAAATGTATGATTCTCCAATCTATTGGAATGTTGATAATAAGGCATGTTGCATCTAAGATTATCATGCACTTAGTAAAGATAAATGTATGATTCTCCAATATATTAGAATGCATATTTCCTTTTCTGATTCTCTACTTAAACCCAGTGAAAAACTGAAGTATAAACAAAATTAGATTATGTTCATTCTTCAATTTACTGGTTATTCCTGCAAACCAAACATAAAAGAGAACTTTTGTTCACACAATTTCTAAGAAAGTTTGGTTATTCCTGCAAACCAAACATAAAAGAGAACTTTTGCTAACACAATTTCTAAGAAAGTTTGGAAATTCTTTAGCCATTTTCATCCATTTCAATTTCATCGCCCCTCTTTCATTTCCTTCAAACAAAACCTCAAAAAACATATGCATACTAAACGCAAAAAGTAGTTAGCCAGGTTTCAGAACTAGCAAAGAATGTCACCAAGCACAATGGCTACATAAGACCCAGAGGCAAGCCAAAGTAATCGTTTCACATCAAATAATGTGCCTTCTTGGAGTGTTAGAAACCATGGTTCAATAATACATTGCCAGGTCAAAATTTATGAATGCTTACCATATGAACCTTGCAGCTCAGTCCCAATAAGAATATCAGCACCGCCCTCTATCCTTTCCTCCTGCCAAAATCACATAATAAGCATCCTTTCAGGAAAAGTTAAAAAAAATTAAGAAAAAGAAACTTAGAAATCCGTAAAGGTATCAGAGATGGAAGTCAGAAACAAAGAAGCCCTAAGGAATTTAAAATTCAAAACCATAGAAAACCAATTGCCTCTGTTTCAGGAGATATAGCTGCCTCGTCATGGGCGTAATCCACTATCGTCACCGTAACACTACTCATTCTCCGACCTACGGCAGACTCCTGCATATAAAAAGGAGGTACAGGAGCTACAGGAGGAATGTGAGAACCCATGCTAACAGGAGAAGATGGCTGGGACACAAAAGTCCGTTGCTGCCACGAGGGAACGGGCTGCGGCAAGGCAGAATTTGGGGCTTCGTAATCGGTGCCGTCCAAGGGACGAATGGGAGAAGAAGGGGTAAGCATTTGAGGGTTATTGTCTCGAATAGGAAACATCAGGCGATCGTTTATGATCTTACCATCACTCAAGATCACGTTCGCTTCTTCCCCAGCACCGCTGCCTTCCGACTGCATGGCGAAAGCGTCTTCATCCTCTTCATCATCCCCATACAAGGAAAGGAGGGCGATTCCCTCGGCTTTCGCCGCCATCATCGAGAACCTCTCTCCCTCTCTCTCTCTCTCTTCATTCCGCATGTCACTTGCACAGTCAATAAAATCAACCCGGAAAAAAAAAAAAATCAGTGGAATATTAGTTGGAGTTATTCTCTGTTATTCAGATATTATTATTTTTTAAAAATATTTTTGATGTTATAATAACACAATAACACTTCAATAACACTTGAATAACACACAATAATACCGAAATAATACATAATAACACATGAATAATACGGAAGAAATATTTTTTTGTGTTACTGAAGAGATTTTATTTTATTTTTCTGTCACTTTCGTGTGACATCATTTCATTGGATTTCGCACATAACTCTACGTGCGGAATCCTGATGCAATATTTTCTTATCTCTCTCTCTCCTCTTCTTTTTTTTTTAATTATGGGTAAGGGTCGTTAGGTTTTTTTTTAATTATTATTTTTTTAATAAACTAGCAAATGTACCACATAATTCTTACGTATTGACATATCTTGCTCCTAAATTTTATATTTACATGCATAACACTTATGTTTTAAACCTATGCATGAAAATATACATGTCACTTTTAAAAAATGATAATAATATTATTTTTTATGTGAAATTACAGATTTGAGATATATGGGTGTAAATATGAAAGTTTAGGTGTGATATATGTAAATAACTTGGAATTGTAATGTCCCATTTTTTTTTAATATTTTGCATACATAACATGCAAAATATTATTATTTATATATCTCGATATCTCAAATTTTAATATTATGAAATTTTCACGTGAAATCTACTTCTGCTAACGGTCCCATCTACAAGCTCATCGCCATCTTTATTCTCTTCTTCAAGGAAACATATTTTGATTACACAGGCATTCAAAAATCTCGAAAACTCTCATATTTCTCCTTTCTTCGTCTGCTTGTACCACAACAACGCGATCGTGGCATGCAAAGGTATCTGAAACTCCCATCTTTTTTCTCTTTTCAGCGTGTTTCCACCCAAACAGTAAAAATGTCAACTTAAAAATCTCGTTGGAATCTTAAATCTTGTTTTGCCTTAAATCCAAGTGAGGGAATTAAAGAAGTTTAAGCTCGCAAAGGTGGCGAATGGGAGAAAATAGGAGAAAAGTGAGAGTTTCAAAGTAGATGCGGGGCTTGAGGAGGATAAAGATGAGAGTTTTAGTGATCTTTGTCAGTTGCGATCCAGTAGTTTTCGTAACTCTGACAGCTTCACCATAATTTAGAAAAAAGTATTAACATAAGTGGTTTTCACATGTGACTTCCATAATATTAAAGTTTAGAGTGTGAGATACATAAATAGCAATGTTTATAGGTTATGTATGTAAAAAACCTTTTTTTTGTTAGGCATAGTTGGTTTTTTTTGGAAAATTTTCATACGCATAACACAAATTTCTTGGATTTACAAGTTTGTATATATCAAATGTTGTTGATTAGATCTCTTATGGATCGACGGGTACGAACAAAGCATGCGCCATTGATTATAATGAATCAAGACATCCTAATGACAAAGTTATGACTAAACCACCAATCTAGAGTCAACTAATTTTGAAGCTAGTGAATTACAGTTGGGCATTGATCGAGCGATGGGCAAACCAAAAAGCTAGAAAACGTGAGAATAGATGAGTGGGAGTAGTTGAGAGGGAAAAAATGACCCAGAGATTGACCAAGATTATGAGTCGGTTAACTCAGGTATCACTCATGAAAACATCAGTCGGTATGAGGGTGAAACATTGTATAGCTGTTGATCACATAATAGGGACCAGATCTATAGGGGTTCGACAAATTAAAAAGTAATAGAGTACAATTGTCATTTTATGGTATCTTTAGTCATCTCAATAAATAGTTGAATGTTAAATGTATAGGATTCATGGCAACTGCAGAAAAAAATAACGATTCTCTCTTTCTCTCTCTCTCTCTCTCTAACCACTCTATTTTTTGGGTGTGATTCACATATAAATTTGGGATCAATACCCTAAAAGATGGGTTTGTGGATTATGCCACAAATAAGATGATGATTAACTTAAGAAGAAGAACTCTAATGTCAAGAAAGTGTAAATAACATGGATTGTACTTGAGAATTTGTAATACTACAAATTATTGCGCTCAAAGAATAAGTAATAGAAGCCATCAATGATGTCCTAACTCAAGAGAGGGTCCCATCACCACGAGTAACGATGTCCTATTATTTGTGAAGGACGATTACAAAAAAAAACTAGAAGAGCTCCTTTGACTCCGGAAGGATAATAAGACACTTACTACCCAGACCTTGAAAACTCAAACTCTTGTTGACCTCACTTTTTTATCAATTTTCTCTTGGCAAAAACATTCACTTGTCCTCCCATGGGAGGATATTCCACGATGAAAATATTATCGAGCTCAAAATAAGCCCAAAATGCTTTGAAACATTAGCCCTGACCGGTGTAACATGCCTATTTCTAGCCGAGTTACTCTACGAGTGCCATAATCAGGCCAACCTGGAGCGTAACTATGTTGCTTTACTCGAGGGAGCAACATATATATGTTTGGGGCAGCGTGTCTACGCTATTGCTGTTCTATCTTCAACTGCTCCAATTTGAAGCACCATCTTTTACTGCCTTTGACCACCACTACTCTACTCCTTATATGAGCCTTCTACGCACCTCTAAACAAAAGAATCTATCACAGCTTTCTTTTCCTTGGCTTGCTCCCCCACTTTGGTGTTCATGTTTTGTCTGCTTCCCTTCCTTGGTGCTCTTCAACTATTCACTGTAAGTTTTCCTCTACTACTTTTCTACTAGTTATTATCATGCATCTTACATTTCATCTTATTTTTCTTCTCTGCTTCTTCCAATTCTTTTGTATTTCTTCTTCAATATTCATCTTCTTCATCTATTTTCTTTTCCTACACTTTAACATCATCTTCATTTTCTTCTCTTAATTAACACACTAGTTTCTTCTCCCAAACTTTGTCTTCTTCTTTTTTTGATTAACACACTCCCATCTTCTTCACACTTCTCTCCTTCAATCTCCTTTTTATTCTACTTTCTTCTTCTTCTTCTTCTTCTTCTTCTTCTTCTTCTTCTTCTTCTTCTCATAGTTAATACACTATCATCATATTCATTTACCTCTTCTATTTTATTCTTTATCATTGCATATTCTTTTTCTTTTTCTTCTTCTCTTCTCACCACTACACATTTCACCTATTCTCCATGTAATTACTTTCATGTATGATTATGTGATGTTTATCTTCCATATTTTTTATACAAAGTTACTATATTCTTCATATAATTACTTCTTGTTTGATTATATGATATTTATTTTCAATTTTTTTTATTTAAAATTAATTTATTCTCCATCTAGTTACTTTCATGTATACTTACATGGTGTTTATTTTTTTTAATATTTTTTATGCAAAGTTAATATATCCTCCATGTGGTCACTTTGCATGTATGCTCATGTAATGTTTAATTTCATATGATTTTCGTTTATGAAGTTAACTTAATTTCCATTTAAACTTTCTTTGTCATTTATCCTCACATGTAATTCTCTCCATGTAAATAGATAATCTCTTGGATCTCTTTTTGCTCTTACACTCATCTCTCTCTCTCCCTATCCTACATTTCCTCTACTAAAACAAAATATTTACTGTTTGTATGTACTCACTATCTATATTGGACTCTGCATCCTAAAATTATTCAACGGTATGCTAATTAATATTACTATGTTATTATTATATTAATTTAGTGATAATATACCTAAAAAATAGATGGAATTATCTTTAGAAATGCTTATTGAATTCCTTAAAAAGAATGACATCCATTTTCTTACATGCCAAAAATAAGCCAAATCAAAATTATTGATCAAAGATAAAATGTATAATATACATTGCAGGTTTAATTCCATAAAGCAACAAAAATTTATTTACACTGAATTTATTATGTCAAAATTTAAAATCAATCACTTATAAATCAAGCAACAAAACAGTGTTTCTGCTGAAATCTTTGTTTAGACATATAAAAGTAGAATAATTGTTGCATCAGGACTCCTCACGTAGAGTTAGGTACAGAGCCCAATAAAATCACACACGTTGAGGTAGGTGTTATTTTGTGTTATTATATGTTACTCAGGTTTTATTGTATTCTGGGAATATTCTCAGTGTTATAATAACACAATAACAACACATACATCAATAACACTTGAATAACATACAATAACATCTGAATAACACACAATAACACCTGATAACACGGGAGGAATATTCTCTTATGTTATCACATATTTTATTTATTTTTTTATTGTCACTGCTACATATCGTGATTTCATTAGACTCCGCATGCAACTCTACGTACCGAGTCCTGATGCAATATTTTCTCATAAAAAATAAATGATGAAAAAAATAACAAAAAATTTATAAAAGTTTAAACAATGACAACTGTTTTATAATTTATAAATCTAGGAGTTTAAATATGCTAAATTGTAATTTATTTCTATAAAATTATTAATGTAAACATTTAAATAAATAAATAAATAACAATAATGTAAGGCACGAAAATTAAAGCAATAGAATAAGGTACCGAACAATACATATATGTAATAATTAATCACGCTGAAACTGACGCAGTTGTCTTTATCGCATTGAGCCAAGTGTTCAAATAATCCTCTAAAATTATTTTAATTTCAAAATTTATAAAATATCAAAAATAATTTAAGATTTTTTATATTAGAGTTAAAATAGTACTCGGATTAGACAATTAAAACTCAATTTAAAAATGATTAAAGAGACATTTATATAAATTATGATATTAAAATAATTCATATAGATATTGAGAAATATTGTAACAAGTCCCTCTCATTGTACTTAACTTTTTGTTGAGAAATTAGAGAGAAGAAAAATATGATTCGACACAAATCCAGAAGAACACACAGAGATTTACGAGATTCGGCAAAGATACCTACATCATCAGGAGCAGAGCGGTGACTTCCTTTTCAATATTTAGAAAAGAGTACAAAATACAAAATTCAGAATCTCAGAGACTCATCTAAGGTTACAAACATGACATATATATAACACTATA